GCCAGCCACACGCTCCAGGATTTGGTCTAAAAATGGGAGGGGAAAGTGGTCCTTATGGGTGGCAGCATTCAACTTCCTATAATGAATGCACACGCACCATCCAGTCACTGTTTTTGTTGGGACCATTTCACCTACTTCATTTTTTACCACTGTGACACCAGACTTTTTAGGGACTACCTGTGTAGGACTAACCCATTTACTATCTGCAATAGGATAAATGATACCTGCATCTAACAGTTTCAGCACTTCATTTTTCACAACTTCTTTCATTGTCGGGTTTAGTCTATGCTGTGGGTCTCTTTTAGGGGTGGCTCCTTCTTCTATATGAATCCTATGTGAGCAAATTAGAGGACTAATACCCTTAATGTCAGCTATGGTCCAACCTAATGCAGATTTGTGTTCATTCAGAATGTTTAAAAGTTGCTCACATTGTAATGCATCCAATTCTGAAGAAATAATTACAGGAAAAGTATCACCTGGTCCAAGGAATTCATGTTTCAATCCTGGGGGTAGCGGTTTCAAATCTGGTTTGGGACTCTCAATGCTTAATGGTTGCTGGCCGCCCGTCCTTTTTGGCAATTCTTCAAATTTGGGTTGCCATGGTGATATCCCATAGTTCTGAAATTTTGCAAAAATAGCACAAAGGTTAGCATATTCTTCATCATTAACACTTGCTGGATTTGCAGAATTCAAAAGAAAAAGATTTAAGGGGTCAGAATTTGTAGTCTCAAGTGCCTCCTCCTGAGTGAGTGCCTCAATCATATGTGTGTGGTGGCACTCATCACTTTCCATTGGTTGCTTAGCAATGTGAAAAATTTTGACTTCTAGAGTCATATTCCCAAAAGACAATTTCATTAGACCATTCCTGCAATTTATAAGGGCGTTAGCTGTGGCGAGGAAAGGTCTACCAAGAATAATAGGAATTTTAGAATCAACATTAACATCAACCTTCACATCCAAGACTAAGAAATCAACTGGGTAGTAGAATTTATCAATTTGAACCAACACATCTTCAACTACTCCCCTAGGTCTTATAGTGGATCTATCAGCTAGTTGTAGAACCACAGAAGTGGGTTTAATTTCGCCAAGACCTAATAGTAAGTATATGGAATGGGGCATGAGATTAACACTGGTTCCCAGATCAAGAAGAGCTTGTGCAAACTCATGGTTCCCGATGACACAGGAAACAGTTAGACAGCCAGGGTCCTTATATTTCGGTGGGATCCTTTGTTCAATCACAGCACTCACTTGTTCGATCAAGAAGGCAGTCTTCTTGACAATGTGTTTCCTCTTCACAGTGCACAAGTCCTTAAGGACTTTCGCATATGTAGGAACTTGTGAAATTACATGCAAGAGTGGAAGATTGATTTTTACTTGCCTAAGGTGTTCTAGGATCTCACTGTGTTGATTGACTGATTTTGGGCTAAGCTTAAGGGCTTGTGGAAAAGGTACCCTCGATGGATTTCCTACTGCCTCATCACTAGGGCTACTTTCGTCAGACTCACTAGACTCCTTTTCACTTTCCCTAGGTTTTGAAATTGGTTCTATAACCTTCCAAGATCGGGTGGTGATGGCATTTGCTTCCTTAAGGTTACTCTCTCCTGAACCTGAGGTTTGAGCCATATGCTGTCCCTTAGGATTAGGTTGAGCTTGTGCTGGAAATTTCCCACGTTCCCCCACAGTTAAGGCATTGGTCAATTTAGACACATGATTTTTTATCTCCTTATTTTCCTCCACTACCTGGTTAATCATAGTCTCAAACTTCTGATTGGTCTTGCCTTGTGCCTCTATGAATGCATGTAGGGTATCTTCTAAAGAGTTCCTAGAGGGTGTGGGTTGATATGATGGTGCACTGTAAGTTCTATTTGATTGGGTAGTTTGTTGGTTTTCAGATTTCCAGCTAAGATTGGGATGATTGCGCCACCCTGGGTCATAGGATTCGGAGAAAGGAGAATAGGGCTTCCTATATGTGCCTAAGGCATTACCCTCTCATCTCAATTAAAGTGGTGCACTCTTGGGCTAGGTGATCTACTCCACCGCACACAAAACAAGGTCCCAAAGATTCAACACGCGAAACAGTTTGTGCAGGTTTAGAGCCTTTAGCACGCAAGGTCTCAAATTCCTTAGTAAGGGCTTCCACTTTGGCCTTAAGACTATCTTCTTCCCTAAGTTGGTAGATACCTGTACTAGTGGGGTTTCCTGGGGGTCGTGACCTATTGGTACTATCAGTAGGGCTAGGTTCTGTCCAAGTATGAGCTTTCTCAGCAAGATCGTCTAGATACTCTATGGCCTCATCCGGGTCCTTTTGCAGGAAATCATCGTTACACATCATCTCTACGAATTGACGTTCCCTAGGTGTTAATCCCTCATAAAAGTAACTAACTATACGCTAGCTCTCATAACCATGGTGAGGACAAAGGGCTTGTAGTTCTTTAAATCTCTCCCAGGCTTGATATAGGGTCTCACTATTCTTTTGGGTAAAAGATGAGATTTGCTTCTTAAGGGTGCTAGTCTTATGGTGGGGAAAGTATTTATTAAAAAATGCTTGCGTCATTACAGCCCACGTACCAATTGAGCGTGGTCTCAACGAATATAGCCAGGTTTTTGCTCTCTCTTTAAGTGAAAACGGGAAAAATTTTAACCTGGCTGCATCCGTTGTACCATGTTGATTGTGGAAGTTTGCAACTACCTCCTCAAATTCCCTAATATGCACGTATGAATTTTCGCTGTCAAGTCCATGAAAAGTAGGAAGAAGTTGAATCATTCCCGGTTTTAGTTCCATACATGGCATATTGGGCGGAAACATTATGCATGATGGTGTGGATGTACGTGTGGGGTGCAAATAATCATGTAAAGTCCTATAAGGAGCATCGTCGTGTTCACTATCAGACATAGTGTTATGTGTTGAGGTATTCGTGGCAATTGATGTAGTAGCAAAATAAGGGTTATATTGAGATTCAAACACTGGATAAGGTGCTCCAGTAGAACTCCCCTGATTGCCTCGATCCCTGCTCATCAAACACACAAAAAAAAATGTGAAAACAAAATAAAAATAACTCTTAAAAAAAATTAAATCAAATATAAATGAAGGAAAGGGAACGATGTCACCCTTTTTCGGTCGATCCCTTGATTACTTGTACCGTCTCCCCGGCAACGGCGCCAAAATTTGATTACACCCAAAGAATAACGCGGTGATTGTAGTACAGCTTTGGGATGTCGTATCCACAGGGAGATGGAAAAATTCTCAAAAGATCAAACAAACAAGGGTTTTCGTAATTAAATGTGGGAATGATTTGTCACTTGAAATAAAAATTAATTATCAATATGCGAATTAGTGAAGCGTCGGAGTTCCCCCATTGGATTGGATCAATCAACATCAATAATTCATGTATTTTTACTCAATTAGAGGTTTTCTTCCCAACTCTCTAATTGGAAGATTTAACAGTGAAGTCCAATTTTATTCCAATTATGTTTCTAGAATCTAGATTTTCTATAACACATTCGCACATTTTTATTGGAACAAGATAAAAAAATCGACCATATACGTCAGGCATAAGGCAGTAATCAATCCACCAATAAAGTAATATTAAGATTAAAATTCAATAATTATTTCAATCATTCGATAGAAAGAGTATGGCTAGATCTATGAAGGATTTGATAAAAGTTAAAATAATCTCAACAATAAGTAATTTAAATTGAAACTCAACAAATAGTTTAATTTAACAATGGAAAAAACATGACTGAATCCATGAGAAAATCCAAATCTAGAAATTATTAAGCAAAGAGAGTTCGAATTACATGAAATTATGACGTGAAATCTCCAAATCCAATGAGTTCTTTCGTTGCTTCACCGAGTTTCTTAGTTTTCCATGGAGTTTCTTGAGCACCAAGATGAAAGAAATAGGTCTGGGGCGTCTCTCCTCGTTCTGGGTGGTTTTGGGCATTTATATCTCGTGAAAATTAGGTTACCATAAGAGATTCAATCGTATAAGGAAACTGAGATTCGGCCGCCCAAAAAACACTATGCGACCGCATGGTTATTGTCATTGCGGTTGCATGGTTATACACTTTCAGCCTCTTCAATTCTCGGTATAGGTGTATGCGACCGCATAGTAGAAAGGCATGCGGCCGCATGGTTTCACCAGACAGCTTTCAGTGTTTTAATCATAACTTTCTTTCCCGATGTCCAATTGAGGTGATTCAAGTTGCATTGGATAACTAACTCAAAGGGCCACAATTTGTATTCAGAAGTAATCTCCCAATTCGATCATCTTCCATGTCAAAAATGAGTCCCAACATGAGACTAAAAACTGGTGTTTTAGTTTTCGATTGGAAATTGATGTATTGATCAAACTTTGATGTTATTTCATCCCTTTGACTTCTTTCCTCATCCACTTGACCTCTAACACTTTCAAATCTTCATCATAATCTTAGACACAAGTTTGGATCAATTCCACTTTAGTCCCCGAACTTTCGTTCTCTTCTACTTTGGTCATTTTTCACTTGTTTCTTCCGAATTTCATCTTTTTCACCAAAATGCAACCTAAACCAAAATATAAGAGTAATGAGTGCATTTTGGCATAATATAATCACATGAATGCAATAGTTAAGAGGGGAAAATATGGTATTTTACACTCTTATCAACAATTCAGAAGATGATGGCCAAGGCTAGAGCCGTGAAGACCTCCGCATCTGCCTACAAGAAGCAGATGGAGGATCTGGTTGATGCTAGTAAGAGGTTTCAGCCTCCGACGGATGAGGAGTTCGAAGAAGACCCCGAGACAAATTTGCTTAGGAAGGGTAAGAAGGCTGTGGGCTTTTCGAAGAGGGCCACCGTGGCGAGGCCACCCCCAGCTTTGAGGCAGATGACAATTCCAACTGGGGTGGTCCTCAAGGGGAAGGTTGTCGAACCTCCGTGGCTGTCCCTATCCCCTGGCTGCCATGATCGAAGCTCCACTTTCGGTCGTTTCCCTATCTCAAGTGCCAGGACAGCCGAAGAGGAAGAGGGCCCGCCCCACAAAGGAGGTGGATTTTTTGGACGTGAACGTTGAAGAGCCCGTCAAAGAAGTGCTGGAGGCTTTACCTCCTAAGACGGCGGCGGTGGCAATGGTCCATAACAAGTACTGGACCGAGGAGTGGAAGGACCACACTGCCTCATGCATTGCTGAAGACCTGGTGGTGGCCAACAGTGCATGCATAGCCCAGGCCCTCAGCACAAGTGTTCAGCTGGAGGGCCTGATCAAAGATCTGAGGGCCAAGAACGCCGACCTTGGCAAGCGCCTCGAGGAGGCGATGATAAATGGAGATGAAGTTCGGGCTGCCCAGAAGAAGGTCTCTGAAGTGGATTCGACGAAGCAGGCGGCGGAGGCCCAGTTGATGAGGGCCAATACCGATATTGAAAGGCTGAAGAAGGAGCTACACGAAACTGAGTGTTAGATGACTGCTCTGACGAGCAAATTGATCACACCAACGAGCACCACCGCCTGCCCATATCAGCTCTCCTTGAATGGGGAGCTGAAGTCGGTAGGGGAGGCAGCTGTGTAGAATTTCATCGATCACTTCAATGAGCATCCCCTGTACGATGACTTTGCCAACTAGTGGGCCTCTTGGAGTGCCCAGGGACTGTTGGGTCTGTTGAAGGAGGTCTACCCTACTTTGGACATATCCTCACTGGAGGCAGAGTTTGGTGGGCCTACTGGAGGCTGACCTGATAGGTTTGCCGAGGAAGCTCTAGAGGCCCCCAGAGGAAGAGCTGGCGGCCCGGGTGGATGATGCCTCAGTAGAGTGGAACTATTTTTGTAATGGCTTCTGCCTCCCTTTTTGTAACTTGATTTTAAAATGAATGTAATGAAAATTTTTCTTTCAAGTATTAGTGCTTCCTCCTTTTTCTTGTGTTGAACTGTTCGTACTTTAGTAAATAAATGATAAACACTTAAGCAAACAATAAGCACTACTTATCGATAACCAGTCGATAAAAGGTGATCGGCGCAATAACATTTTAAATAACCGAGGCAACAACTCATTAATTGATTTGATATAAAAAACTGAAGTATCATTACTTAGAGGTTACATCATCCATCACTAAGGCAATTTCAAAACATAGTAAGACAGGGAAGTTACAAATGAGATCGGATCATGACAAACACATATTAGACAGTATGGAGATCGGATCGGAGCATACGTTCATCATTGATAGTACTTTCTCAGGTGTTCGATGTTTCATTGATGAGGCAATACTCTTCTTGTCATATCTTCAATTTCAAAAGTATCAGGTCGGGACTCCTTGCAGATGTGATAAGGACCCTCCCAATTTGGTCCAAACACTCCAGCCCTAGTTGGCTTTGACGATTGGAAGACCCTTCTAAGGACGAGATCCCCTAATCGAAGAGTTCGATTTCTGACTTTAGAGTTATAATAGCGGGTCATCTTCCTTTGATACTTGGCTAGTTTCAATTAGGAGGTATCCCTCCTTTCTTCAAGGAGGTGGAGTTCACTCATTCAAGTTTCGTCGTTACTGATCTCATTGAAGTGTATTTGACAATACGATGGGACTCCTACCTCGACAGGGCTCTTGGCTTCGGCTCCGTAGGTTGTCAGGAAGAGTGTCTCCCTTGTAGTGATTCGACTAGTTGTGCAGATGGCCCAGAAGACGTGGGGAAGCTCATTGACCCACGCCCCCTTCGAGGCGTCAAGCTTCCATTTCAGGGTATGCTTGATGGTTTTGTTCATTGCCTCAACTTGCTAATTTGCTTGGGGGTCATGAGGCGTCGAGAAATCCTTCTTTATCCCCAGTTCGTTGCATAAGTCTCGCATCTTCTTGTTGTCGAATTGTCTTCCGTTGGGGAAATACCTCAAATTGACCTAAATAAAGGAAGGATTTTCCAAAATAGCCTTTGACTTTTCTAAACATTTTGGATTACCTAAAATACCCTTAAACAAATATTAAAAAACAACCCTTTATCCAATATAAATCTTCTATTTAAGTCCTTAAAAAATTAACATATAATTTTTCTAAAAATTTGTGAGAATTATTAATGACTAATCATAAAATAGAAAAACCCAAATATAAGAGAGGACCATATAATATAAAAAAGGTTGTTAAAAATAAAAAAGAAATTAAGTTTGAAAAAGAAATTGATAAGATAGGATATCAAGAACAATTATATGCATCACAAGAAATATTAAAATGTTTTAAAGAAAACTTATTAGAAAATTTCGCTAAAGGAATTGTAAGGTCAATAATCATAAAAGATATTATAGATATTATAGATAAATTGGAAAAAAGGAAGAAAAATATTTCAAAATATGGTATACCTTTTAGAACAGATATAGATATGATAACAGATATTGATATTATAAATTCTCAAACATTATTAGACTTTGAAGAATTAC